TGGATGGATGGATGGATGGATGGATGGATGGATGGATGGATGGATGGATGGATGGATGGATGGATGGATGGATGGAGCCTCGGAGTGGTAATCTGAAACAGCGGGCAGGGAGGCCGGTTCTATTTTCAGTATGCGAGGGCCGGCCCTCCTTAAATTACACCAGCCCCTTGTCATACACCTACTTGTAACAGTTTGCATATGGTGTAATTTTCTATTTCCTTAAACTGTATAATCCTTGCAAGAACCTAAATTATAATAAAACTAAAATGCTTTCTTTAAAACAAACTACGATGTTCCTCTTATTTTTATGATCGAATATTTTGCAAAAATATGTTGCGGTGCTTGATGGGGTTTTGCATCCAAAGGCTAAAGTTTCCTGTCTTACGTGCCTTGTTTAGGATGGCCATCTCGGTTGTTTAGGAATTTAAGATGGCCGTCTATGGGTAAAAATATTTTTTTTTTTTTAGATTTGTGGCCTAAGAGATCAATAGACTTTGGTCCAAATTGGGTGATATTTCATATATCCAGATGGTTTATGAAAATTTCTTGGGCTGGAAAACGTGAGTCAGTGACATCTGGCAACATTTGACGTTTCACTGTGCTTCAATTCTTTTTGTTGTTTTTTTTTTGGGGGGGGGGGGGGGGGGGTGTTCGTGAGTGGACTGTTGTACATGTAAAAATGCCAGGGCCAAAAATCCTTCCAGTCCGAGGAAGGATTGATGGATGGAGATAAGAGAAGCAAAAGTTAAAATAAAAATGTTGTGATAGTTTAAGGAATAGTTAAAAATTAATGTAGAGCGCTGAACCCTAAAGGTAACTTTAAAAAAAATATCAGGGTCCCAGAGATTTTTTATCTGACAATTGAATAACACAAATGTTTAATTCCCAGTCAGTTGCAAAAGAAAAAGAATCTGAGCAGCAGTTTTCTTAGATTGTTTCATTTGTCAGAGAGACTAAACTCAAACAGAACTAATCTAGCTCCTAGGATTACACCTGAGTAATGTTACACCATACACAGATAATTAAGACTGTGAATTGCTTGTTTAGGATCAAATGAAACAAATTTAATTTTAACATCCCTTGGCCCCACTCAGTGATGCACTTCAGAGTGAGCAGCTTTTAATATGCATGTAGAGATTGTAACCGGCAGAACATAGCAAAAAACACGTGTTTTCCAAACTACTTTTACATCCCTGGCTCACTTGGTTTGATTTCTATCACACAGCGCGCTCTGACGTTCATGTAATGAGCAATGAAGTCCTCATCAGGAGGAAGAATGGTTTTAGATTCAACTGGGCAGGTGGAGGGGGGCTACTGATCGAATCTCAGACCGATAAGAGTGGAAATATCTGGAGTTCACCCAGTGGTCACTATTGTCTGACCCTTCAGCTCTGTTCTAAATCAATTTGAGATCAACAACAGGATAACAATGCAACCTATTGGATTAGAGCTCTGAAATGCTTGTGTGCACAGCTCTGATAGCCGCTGTTAAACTTCAAACACAGCCGTCTAGAAACAAATATACAACAAAACGGGAGCAAAACAACTGTTTAGTGTAGATCTTCAATTCTGTTTATCTGTGTTTTCTATGTTTTATCTCTTCATGTTGCCGAACTTTTGGAAAAGCCTCCATTTTTGTATATCTAAAAAAAAAAGTTCCAACACTAACAGTTTATCTTTACACTCCTATCCTCCTCTCCCAGCATCCTTTGCTTAGAGGTCACGGCGCAGGCGATAAAAGTACTCGCCGTTTATCAATGTCCGTTTTCTATTCATTTAGCATTTTTTAAAAACCCTATATGCATGATAATCTCACACGTAAACTCCACTCACCGCTTGTTTTTTGGCAGCCTTTGAAATAAGCAGCTTTGAACTACATCTCAGCAAATTCTGGTCAGTATACTAACCCCAGCAAAGCTACCTCAAAGGATTCTCTGCAGCGCTTATAGTGCACATGTGGTAGCTGATGGTGTTGCTTACCACCTCGCTAAGAATTTCAAACAGAATTAATGTCCCTTCTGATTTTTCTTGCATTTGTTACCCGTTGTTAGATGTGTTTCGTTCAAGGATTCTCAGGAAGCTTTCTTTGAGGAATCCCTACTGCTGTTTTTATCCCAGCCCTCCTTTTCATCTCAGATATCCATCTCTAGCTTTTCTCACCTGCTCATGAGTGACAGGGATTAGTCGCTGCTTGGAGAGTTCCCTCAGGGTGTTGACGTCTGTCCTCATGTCCAGCTTACATCCCACCAGCACCACTTTAGCATTGGGACAAAACTCTTGTGTCTCTCCTTGCCACTGCAGACACACAAACAAAACAAAAAATGTACAGATTCCTCATCACACATAATTAAAAAAAAAACTGAGATACAATTTAAATCTCTGACTCTTAAGGAGATGAAATATTAAAATAATGAACATTATTTAATTGAGCAGAGGTGACAAGTAACTAAGTACAAATATCTATACTATAGATCTATACTTTACTGTAGTAATTATTTTTAACTTTTTTCTTCCATTCCTTACATTAATTTTTACAATTATCTCTACTTTCTACTTCTTTCTACTTAAAAAATAGACTCTTGTTTTATTCAGACAACTTCTTTGTGGTTGGACTTGGTATTTTTGTATGTGTTCACCACATACAAAAATAAAAAGCTTTTCAAGATGATGTAAAGATAAATATAACACTTTTGCCATTAGTTATAAAACTAAGAAAATTAAGTATAAGGAAGTTATCATCCAGAATTGATGAAAAGTGTTCCTTTAATAGGCTAGTGCAATGTCCTTAACATTTTCCCTGCATTACTTTTACTTTTATACTTTAAGTTTTAAGTATTAAGTATATAAGTACCATTTTTAAAACTACTTAAAGTGTTTTAAACAGTAGGATTTATACTTCTTCTTGAGTAATAAACATTAATACTTTTGACACCTCTGTGTAAAAGTAACCAAGTTATATTTTCAAAAAGATTTTACATTCTCAAATTATTTTTTCTTGGAAAAGATTTTCAACTTTTTTTTTAGCTGTATAAGTTTTATCATAATAAAAAACAAAACAATACAGAAATAAATTAAGTCTTTGTTAACTTGAGGTAATACTTTGGATTTTTGTATGTGGGGTTCTGTTGAGTTGGTATCAGATGTTAGGTATCTCACCTCTGTTAAAAGGGTCAGCCGCATACGTTTGAAATTTAACTGAAGCTAATCCTCCAACTGCAGAACTTTGCATCAGACAAATTCATTAACAAAATCCCACCGTTCCTACATACCAAAACAGTCTTTGGAAGGAATGTTTAAAACAGAGGTCTTTACCATCATACCGGTACTTATACTTAGCATATAGGCTGTCTAGCAAATGGTTCAAAACTCGGGTGAACCAAGAATTCAGAAAATCGAGTAATCCAAGTGCAGATTAAACTACTGGTAAGATTTTGACTGCAGATTATTAACTTCACAGAACTCCTCCTAAGCCAATGATACAAAGAGTTACTGATTCTTCAGGAGTTATATTACATTCTATGGATTTAAAAATACCTGCCATTGACTGATCTATTATAGATTATGCTACACAATTATAGTGTTGTGAGGCCAAGTCGACTTTAAAATTAATCATCAGAAAAAGCAACCTTGTCTTTAAAAAACCTTTAAAAGACTGAATGTTGGACGTGTTCTGTATCACTGAGATATTTATTAATGAGGGCTTTAACAGAAAAACTGTAGCTTCTGCAACAAGTCAAGACTCATCTGTGGTTCAAGCAGGCTGTGTGAGGACGAGCAAACACAAAACCTTCTGGGGATAATGGCCGGCTGAGCAGATCACAACAAAGTTGTCCTGTTTTAAACCATAGAGCTTAGAGCCTTTATCTCGTGCTGTATTGTATTGGAAAACTACTAGTTAAGTTAGACGTCACACAGAAAAAAACTATTTCTACAGTTAGTAATTTGGTTGGGCTAATCATCAATATAACGAGTAAAATCCTCTATTATGATGAGAGCTTAGTCACACCCGGTGTGACTTGGCTTCTTCTTTGGAGGAAAAAATAATGACTGCTAAGAGCAGAAACAATAAAAGATAGAAACAGTTTGAACACGGTTCTTCTCCCCTGGTATTGTTCCCAAAGAGAACCTGAATAGAATCAAATATTTGCATGTCAAAGCTTTATACAATATGAAACTCTGGTCAGCTTCTGCTAAACTTCTTTAAAAGCTCAGCTAAAAACAGACACATTTAGTATTGACTGCACACTAAGAATTATGGATAAATGATTATTCAAAGGATGCATCATGCTAAAACAATCCCCAATGAGCATACAGTGATACAACCTCATATTGAAGACCCATGCCACATAGTTGACGATAGTAAAGGCTTTATTGGTTGTTTGCTCAGAGACCCTCATCATCAAATATATAAAATATCAGCCAGAAAACACAACTACAAAAGGAGACATCCTCCTCATCAATACATTTGTTATTTCCGTGTATGAATATTCTATCTCCTTCTGATAGCTGCATAGCCTCCAGCAGAGTACAAAATGCTAGAGATGCACAATCTAAAAAAAATAATAATAATAATTGTTGTATACAGTATTATTAAACTGAGACAAATAAAACACTTAGCAAAACGGTGTTTTTATGAATTGGTTTCCCTGGCCTCATAAAATAAAATTCAGTTTTAGTCTCTCTATGTTTATTTCTTCAAAAACAAATTCTAATAGAGACTGGATCCTTGTTTGCTGATTGTTTTAGTTCTAATGTTATCACTTTTTAATCCAGATCAGAGTTGTTTGCATAATATTGTGAGAGAATAAAATCACTACTAAGTTAAACCTGTAAATAACTACTGATGAATGCTTTTTAGTTGCAGGTACAGTGCAAGCAACAGTGAAGTTTGCTTATGAAAACAGGATTTTAATTGTTCTGTTTTTTAATGATCCATCATAAACTGGTCTACATATCACAAGAAAAGATTCACCTCATCCCACTGAAGAAATGTTTCCCACACTATGATGTTATGATGTAATTCCCCCCATCTTCCACTATGGCATGGGTTATTCTGAACAACCACTCAATTTATTCATCTCATTTGATCCTCATTTCAATCTTCCTTGAGTCATCCTTGATATGCCAGTAAAAATAATTAAAAAAAAAGCAGAGGAATGTTAAACGTTTTACTGAACCATGTCATCTCATGCTGTCTACCTGAAGGATATCACACATTCCTCATACATTCTGTCAACTGATCAATTTCAGATTTTTCTCAGAAAGAATAAGACACTTCTTTCTTTTTAAAAAAAATCACTCCAAGATTAAATGTCACTCTGAAAAGCAGCTGAATCAACACTGTCTCTTTTCTCTACGACCAAAATAGAAAACAGCGTAGACTTACACAGCCTGCCGCGTGCAAAATGTCAAGGTGTTCGTTCATCCCTCACGCTTAGCACCACCTTTGACCTTTTGAGCCAGTACCCATTCTGTCGATATGCCCCAGTCAAAAGCTTTGATTGTTTAACCCTCTCTCCTCCCCCAGCTGTCATCTAGTGACCTGTAAGACCTCCACGTTTCTTAGGGTCAAGAGTCTATTTAGGATGGGGACTGTGCAACAGGTTAACCATGCGCCTCCTAAGTTGCAGGGATTACCAGGGTGACAATGAAAGGTCAGGGGTCATGGCAGTCCCTCCTGCAAAGTAATTCCTGGGAAAATGCTAAAACGAACGACAACGCTCCCTGTTGTTGACAGAGGCCACCAAGATGGGGCATCTTGGGTTAGACCAGCAAAGTCTTGAAAGGAGTTTTACCAGCTACCCACAGACCAGTAAACACGTCAACAGAGGGCCATGGGAACACCGTCTAGCCTGCTAAGCGTGTAATTCAAAGGCAGACGCACACATGGTTTCAAGATGCGACGCTTGTAAAAAAAGAAAGGCCTGGTTTACATGACACATATGCATGCAAAGAGAAGCCATCAATGTGTGTATTTAACCACCATGGATATTTGACTATTTGTGGTCCAAAAAAAAAAAAAAGGTTCACCAAACCACAGATATCCACCCTACTGTTGCTCCCACCACAATGACTTTTTGACATTTTGCCTAAATGTTTATAGCTAAACTTGAAATTTAAATAAAATAAAAAAAATCCCCATTTGTTGCAGCAGGCTCTGAAACAGCTCTTGGTATATGCCGCACTAATTTGCATTTCAGATATATTTCTTGAAGCCACCCAACTGCTAAGCCTCTCCTCCCATTCTCCTCACTGACCTTTCATTTCTTATTGGCAGTGCAGGTCAAGTACCCATGGACGCTTTGATGAAAGAAAGGAGCGGGAGGCTGTAACCTCCCATTTGATCAACTGTTGGGGCAAGAAAAGCTGCTGGCACAGGCATTCATTATTATGAGATGGTGATCTGGTTGGTTTTACTCTACAAGCACTTATGAACTGCTGATGTAAAGCCTTGGAGAACAGAAATAAAAACACTGACCTTTTTAATGACGCTGTCCAATGTTTCTGGTCGGCTAATGTCGAAACAGATGAGAACAGCATCAGAGTCGGGGTATGCCAGCGGCCTTACATTGTCATAATAAGAAGAACCTGTAACACACAACAACCCATTTTATTAGACTTTCACAGCTTTAAAAGGATTTCTGTGAGTATTTGTTTGTTTGTAGATTTTAACCTCACAAGCATTTTCATCCCAACCATATGGCTGTTTTGATCAATTAAAAACTCCCTGAGAGGTGATCTAAAGGTTATTAACACATGCAAAACACATTAAAGTAGGCGCAGTGCCCAACATTCGTACATGCTGCAGCTTGACCGCACTCTGATGATGCAAATGAGTCCTGATCTTCAGTTATGCATGCATATTGGCATATAGTTTCCCCCTGGGTTTTCCACACAGCTGCGACCTCCCCTTATCACATGAGGAGGGCTGCTCAGAGAATTATACACAAAAATGAATTGTAGAAGGCTGACTGGAGACCCATACCCAGCTAAAATCAACTGTTGAGAGGTGAACATACGTGCTTATTAGGCCCTGCTCCCCAGACAGACATCTTTTTGTTGTTAAATCTTACATTTTCTATTTATCCATCTAATCCAGAGATACAATGCCCTACTCTTAAGTTTTTTCTTGCAGCTAAAGAGTTCTCAGTTAAACAGCCAGCTCTCATTAGGAGACTTGTAAAAATATCTGTGCAATCGAAGGAATGTGACTGTGGCCATAGAGTCACCCTCCCTCCTGCCACCATTAAGAGCTAACAGGGGGTTGATGTGCACAGCTGCACTTTAAGGCACAAAGAAGCAGTTCTTTGCTCCAAATTTCTGCAATTTACACAACCTGGAATGCAGGGAAATTAGAAAATTTGATTTGTTGAATATCTTGACTAATAGATCTATTCCTCTAATTCAATCGAAGATGATGAATTAACACGAGGAAGGAAATGGCCTGTTTAGATCGTGGATTCCTTTGTCTCGTGAGGCAAATGGAGATTGCACAAAAGGAATATAGCATTTTTTTTAGCATCATCGGGTTCTTTTTGTTAATGATGGAATGACACAATGACAATAGATGCACACGGCCTCCATCCCCTCATTGTTTGTCCAGCTGTCCCACATGACCTGTGTCTCTATGCAGAACAATGAAACAGGGGCTCTGCTGCAAAATCACTGGATGAATAAATAAGAGTCACAGTTTAATTCCGAATTCATTTCTCGCCTCTCTGCACTTTGCCATTGGAGGCAACAAATGCATTGAATTCCAAAAGGTATTTGTGACTCAGGCATCAATACCATACACCATCTTCAGCTCAAAAAAATTAAATAATGCTTTTTTAATAGGCTGAAGGTCAGATCACTTCCATAGATGTACAAGAAATAATTATTTTAGAAATAACCTGACAGAATGAAGCATGCAAAAAAAGTGTTGAAAAAAGAAATGCATTTCTTGATATAAAGAAACAATGGACTAAACCACAGGGAACTAAACCACAGCTGAAGCGAAAGAAGTTAAGGTCAGTGTTAAATTCCCACCAGAAAGATAGATGTTGGACATAAATGGCATGGATAGGGAGGTTCAAATGGGAGATGGGGTTGCAAACAAAAAAGCATATTAAGTTATTTTTGGTCTTAATCAAAGTAAAACTTTACTTTGACAAAAACGTTGTGATAATTCCTCAAATTGTTTTGGAAAAACACACAAAGGACTAAGAACAGAAAACTAGAACTCTCTGGATTTGTTTTAATTCAGCAAATAAACTACTGTAGTATTTAATTGAAATAAAATGATACAGACAGCAGAACATGATGGTGTAAGAGTGATGGTCAGCTTGGTTTATTCAGGATGTGGAACAACAAACTCTGCTAGCTATTAGAAAATCACCTAGGACAATTATCATACCCATTATTATAGGAAAATGTCTTATTAAAAGTTCAGGTCTTTAAGCTCAAGATTAATTGCGTTATGCAGCAGAAAGAAATACACAAGCAAAAAGAAAACAGAGAAAAAAGCAAATACCCTTTTCACAGTACAGACAAACAGACCAGCACACACATAATGAAAAAAATGCTATTACTATAGAATATTGTTGTAAAACTTATATACTTTCCAAGAACTCATGATTTAAAAGTAGCTGTTCAGTCCTTCATTATTTCACAACTGCTGCAACTCTGAGTACTTTGTCCTTCCTCTGTCATCCATCATTCTCACAGCTTGTTTTAACCGTTTCTTTGTAAAAAAAAAAAAAAAAAAAAAAAAAAAAAAAAAAAAAA